TATATATATATATATGTAATTATACCACACCCGTCTTCTTGGTGACGAATCAGGTGATAAGACACACAAGGAAACATAACTGACGGCACACGGTTAACACCGTCTACCGCGCAGCGCCGTCAACCAATAGTCAATATATGCCCAACTAAAGTCATGTGCAGCACCCGGTGTATATCACGTATGCGCGTATTAGTAGCGATGTTTCAGAGAAATTACCGCTACCGGTATATCCAAGGTTGCATGAGGGTGTTTGAAATGCAGAGACAGAGAGCTAAGTTACAAGAGAGAAAGAAAGAGAGAGAGAGCGAGAGAGAGAGAAAGAGAGAGAGCGAAAGCGAATGTGAGATCGAGCGAGAAAAAGAGCGTGAGTGCGAGAGAGAGAAAGACAGTAATTATCTTAACCTTGAGTTTACCACTAACTAGATGCGACCGTGTAAGTGGAGAGAAAATAGAAAAATGGTTGAGTACGCTGGAGAGGGAATGAACGATGCTCGTACCCGGGTGGAGAAAAATAGGAAAAAAATAGGCGCGGCAATTTTTTTTGCTTCTTATTATTAGTCACGGCTGAGCATGCGACAAGAATCACATGTGAGAGGCAAACGCAAGCAATCTCGAGACCAGAACCTCGCTCCTCTCCAGACCGTTGCTGCATAGTATCTTCACAGTAGCCTTGCCGACTCGACGCTGCTAATAATGAACTCTCAGCCTAGCCCCCATACTTCAGCAGCGGCGAGGCAGCGCAGGGGGAGTACCAGTGACCGCGTTTTCATCTATTATTACACTCTATCTAGTTAATCTCTTCGAGAGGCGCGTAAATTCGCCGGGCACCGCGGGACGTGCGCGTGTGGCGACGCTATACGCTATACGACCCTGGGGCCTGCCCGGGCCGGCAAGGCACGGGAGACCCCGCAAGCAGGATGCTGCAGCGTCTACGAGCGCAACATCTGATCGTGTTTACGAGCTATAGGTGTGCGCCGCCGCCGCCGCCGCATCGCGTCTACGCGTAACGGTGCGGGGAGTAGCGCGTGCATAGATTCCTTTCGCATGCGTTCATAAATTCCGTCTCGGAGGACACAGGTTCACGGCGAGTTCATGCCTCGGCGCGGCTTAGTTTCGTGCCTTGGAGGGTAACCCGGATGCGCGTCGAGCCGCGAGCGCAGCGAAAAAGTTACACGATGAACGATTTTTTTTCAACGAAATATCTTGTGCACTGTTATAAAAGTCAATATGTGAGTCAATATACGGTGTTTGTCTTCGGGCGTGTATCGAACCGTTAGTGGCCCCGGTCAAATGGTTGCATGCTCGCTGCGCGTTGTGTACTGCAGGCGCAGGAGCAATTCTCGGAAGCCCGCAATAGCGAGCAAATGTGCGTTATCGTGCTTGATTCGAGTCGTGTACTCGACAAAAATAAAAACGCGTAATCAAGTATGAAATAAGTAAATATAAATAAAAGAATGAATTAAGTAAGTATGAAACGTCGATTAGTTTTAAATTCCGTGCATGCGCTGTAATCGAAAAAAACTGGCTAGATGCGAACGTTAATTAAAAACCAAATTCCAGTCAAGTCAATATTCTATGCGTGACCGCGTGCACGCTATAACGTACATCCTATGAATTCTCTCTGCCCGCACCCTATGTTATTTTTTATGTATCCACACGGGAAAGTAATAAGCTTGCGTTGTGATACATAAAGCCATAGCGTCTCAATAACGGAATTCTAATCGCAAGTTAGCCTTAGTTATAATCCACGAGCGTGATCCATAACAAAAATAAAGTCATCGTTTTTTTATTACTCTAATCTCTGAAATTGGAAACCCACATGCGCTGACCGGGTAGACATAATCCCGGACGATGGCACATCGCATATCCAACTAATGACCTGGTCTTCGCACCGCTGCTGTTTTACTGAATGCAATAATATATGGGCTAATCTATTTCCAGCTGTACGGTGAACATAAGCATCTTAAAGATCGAGGAGAAGTGGCGACTGTTGGGCGCACGCTATTTCTATTGATTCGCTCCAGATTTAGAGCATTCAATAATTTTTATAGATTTACAAGTTAAGTGTCAACTAAGGAGGGTTGTATTTCAAGTAGTTTATAGCTAAGAGAAAATTGCTTACGAAACAGTTTCGTTAACGCGCACACATGCTACACGTATATAAATATATAGCTTCTATCATCTAG